ACACACACACACACTCACACACTCACACGCAACAATCAGGCATTGTTCTGAGGGAAGAAAAGCAACTTTGACAGATTGAAATATAGCAGAGGCCCCTTCAAGGAAACCTGTAAACAACTTGTCACTCACTCTGTCGGTCTCACTGTTAGCTCGTGCTTTCCACAAAGTGGTGCAAACGTCCTGGCAACCCAACCAAAGTTTCCTCAGCTCCAAACTCCATAAAACACGATGTGCGATGTGGAGGGCAATAGGTATCCACATGCCAAAATATAACACACGAGAGCGAACAAAAACCCAAAAGCAAACCAAAAAATAAAAACGAAAAGATGGTACTAACAAACTGTCCTGTTTGGGATCGCTGGGGAGGTCAGGGATAGGAAGCGCTCCCCTGGCTGTGGATCTCTTTAATTTCCTCTGCCCAGGCAGCCACAAATAACAAGGTGGACAAACTATGGCTTTGCAGATCCTAAGCTGGCTGGCAAGGCACAGCCTCCATAGCAGTTCCAATTATCTAGATAAAAATCTGGCAGGCGAGGAAGGTAATCAGGTAATGTACCTTTGACATGAAATGACAGAGGCACATACACATACAGAGAGAGACGCACACAGACACGCATGCAGAGATGGTGGCTGCCCCGTGCACCGCAGCATCTGGTCAGGGAGTAAGAACACACTCACTGACACGAGATAGTGTGCATTCTTCACACACACACACACTCTCTCTCTCTCTCACACTCTCTCTCACACTCTCTCTCTCTCTCTCTCTCTCTCTCTCTCTCTCTCTCTCTCAGTCACTCACACACACTCTCCACTCCTACTGGGAGGGTTCATTCTGCACAAAAGGCTACATTACAGAGCCCGCCCCAATAAGGGAAAGAGAGGAAAAAAAAGCCTTCCATTGTTGAGAGGGCAGGTCAGTTGATTAGATTTTCTGTGGAGAATTCCACGAGGAAATTCCCTTCAAAGCTGAAGTGATTAACTGGGGGCTATTCTGGAAATGGAGCAGACAATGGCTCAATAGTCTGCACAGCCAATGTCCAGGCTGGCACTGAACTCACTTAAAAAAAAAAAATAAAAGCCAGACTCCCTGTTCTTTTCCACACATTCCTCCCCCCCAACCCCCTCCACTCCTTCCAACTTCCCCTCCCAATTCCTTTTATTTTGCAGCTGGACAACATTAAGGGCCTTTAAAACCACAAGGGTTGACCCCACAACAGTTTGATTAGGTCCCACTTTTTTTTCTGGCGACAGGCAGACAGTAGTTTACTTTTTTAGACACACACAACGACACACCATACACACATTCCATATAGAAAAATCAATTTTTAACCTCATATTAGTAAATTTATTCTTCACTCAAAGCTTATAAATTTTTTGACAAAGTTGACAATAACTTAATAATGAGAGCTATCGTTCACGGATATCCTAAAAATATACATATACATACTATAAAATCAATGTGGAATAAGATTTAAGCATGTCACTATGGAGTTAAGACACTAACAAAACACAGAATTATGACCCACCCTGAAAAAGCTGTTAACAAGGGATGTGGCAAAAATGACTTGATGCTGACATGATTTTCATTTTCAGCAGTTGGGGAAGGGGGAAAGGATATTACTCACTATTCTTTCTTGTCGTTAGCCTCAATTATTTTTTATTACAGCGATGACCTATGCCTACATAGAAAAATGAGAAAATTGTTGCATTTATTTTAAATATTTATTTTTTTAGCCCTTAAGGGACCTACGATCTAATACACTCTAATTGATAATGTATACCAAAATAATATTTTTCTTCTATTGTTAATGGTGGTTGTGGGAATTGGTGTATGGTGGCTACAAAGCCACATACACTTTAAAAATAATTTAGAATTTTTTCCTAATTAAAGAATCTTGTTTCATCTAGTATTAATAGAGAAAAATGAAGGAGGAGGATGGGTAAGGTACAGGGAGCCATGGGAGCTGGAGTAAGGAAGAAGAAGAGGCAGGGAGGAGAGGATGCGAGGAGAGTAAAAGAAGGAGACATAGTGGCAGCATAAAGATAGAAACAAAGATAACGGCCATAAGGCAGGATGCTGAGATCCATATGGTCCCAGCTGCTGTCTTGCTACAGCTACTACCTCTGGTTGTTTCTCTGAAACTCTAATCCAGAAGGTCACCAGAGCAGGTAAGAAAGGTAGTATGCATGTTTGAGGCCAACTGTAGTATAAAGAAAAGATGCCCATCTCAGAATCTTCCTTGTCTTTGCTTTTGTTTTTATAGACACTTATATATGTATATATAAGTATATATATGCCAAATAAACATAAAGAACATATACAGAAATGTTGAATGGTTTGAAAGTTAATTTTAGATTTCAACGTATTCTATAAACTTTCCTGTAGCCACAAATTATTTCTTGCACAATCATCTATGCTGAAAGTTGAAATAGACTAGGAACTAGACAGAAAATTTGCCAAATATAATAATGATCATCCTCATAATGATAATTTGAACTTATGGAGTGCTAAGCTCATAAGTAGTTTTGTTCACATATATTAGTTCATGGATCTTATACAGCGAAGAAAAGAGTAGGAATGTATATCTGTAACTTCCCCACTGTTCAAACTTGGTCAAAAAGTATTTAAAGTCATACAATTGGTTATGAGTGCATTTGTTACTTGAAGCCAGATTCTATTTCACTTGTGTCACTGTAACACAGAATAAATGGATCCTCTAGAATTCATGAAAATCCCAAAATGGTGCTCAGTTTCTAACTTACTTTAAAAGGTTTTCAGGTAATTATTATCAAAAATTAAATTTCATAAAATCCCATTGTCACTAAGATAGAACTGTATTTGATGGTTGAATGGAATAAATAGTTTTTAAATGTACCTCTCTAAGCTGTAAAAGATTTCTTTCATTTGAATTCTATATTGCAAATTAGCATTTCTGCCAGATTTTAGAATGTCAGCAAAAGGATAAGACAGTTCCAAAATGCTTTGGTCAAATCCTGCCACTAATTATTTTATTAAATGATCAAAGTAATCCAATCAAGCCAATGTTTAATATTAAATTACTGTTACTTATAAATCACTTTTAAAATTTTACATTAAATGTTAAAATGTTTAAATATTAACTATGTATTCTTGACTAGAACATAATATATGTTAAATAAATCTATATTCTTTATCAATCATTTGAAAAGCTTAAGATATTCAATTGATTATACAGTAGTCTCCCCCTATCTGTGGTTTAACTTTCAGAGGTTTCAATTACCTGCAGTCAACTGCAGTACAAAAATATTGAAAGCAAAATTTCAGAAGTAAACAATTCATAAGTTTTAAAGTGTGCCCCCTTCTGTAACATGGTGAAATCTGAAGCCATCCTGCTCCGTCACACCTGGCACGTGAATCATCCCTTTGTCCAGCAAATCCATGCTGTAGACACTACTTGCCCATTAGTCACTTAGTAGCCATGTCAGTTGTCAGATCTACTGTGGAGGCACTGCAATGCTCATGTTCAAATAACCCTTATTTCACTTCATTGTTCTATTTTATTATTAGTTATTGTTGATCTCTTTCTGGGCCTAATTTATAAATTAAACATTATCATAGGTGTGCACAGGACAAAA